CTGAGCCCCACACTCCTGCCTGTCAGTACTTGTCAGATGGCAGCTCTCCCACCCCCAGGGGACTTCAAATCAAGGGAGGAGGTCACAGCAGAGAAAATGGGAGTACCCAGCAACCACTGTGCATATATGTCTCTGTGGGTGTACATATATGTGTATGCTTATACATCTGTGTATATGCATCTGTTCATGTGCATGCATGTGCATCTGTATTTCTGCACATGTGTACGTGAACACACATAGATATGTGCACATATCCATGTTTGTACATTTGTATACATCTGTACAGGTGTGTTATGTATATGTGTACGTCTGCGTGTCTGCACATGCATATGTATACACATCTGTGTATGTGCATATGCATCTGCTTGAATCTCTGCATGTTTGTACATGTGTATGTCCACATGTGCATGTCTATGCCTGTGTGCATACATATGTACACCTGTGTGTGCATGTGCATCTGTGCATGTTTGTGTACACATATCCATATGTATCTGTTTATGCATACACATGTGTGTATGTGTGCACGGCAATATGCACACATACATGCGTCTGTGTATGCAGACATGGATATGTGCATCTGGGCATGTGTCACCATTGCAGCACATACACTCTGACCTAGTGTTGCATCTTAGATGTGAATAGTGACTGCTGCCAAGTGCTCTGTAAGGCAAAAACTATGGACCAAAAAGCCATCTGGGGACTGTCCAACCACCCATGTCCCGGCTCCTTCCTGGGATCAGCTGTCTGGCAGCTAGGGCGGATTACAGAGGGGACACCAGTCACTACCACACAGAAGGTGTCAGTGCTTCTGCCAGCAACAGGATGTAACACTGGCATTAAAATGCCCTGGCTGGTGTCCCAGGGAAACTGAAAAAGGATCTCTAGTGACAGCTGTGGACTGGCCAATCTAACATAGGCAGTCATTACCTGGACCCCTGAGCTCACTGCAAACACTGCCTGGGGAGGCATGTTCTGGCTTATTTCTTATCTCCGGGGTTTGCCCAGATGGGGCATGTAAAGCTTAGAGCCTCTCCAGGCCCTGCAAAGAGGACAGTGAAGGACAAGCACTTACCACATCTTCTCCCCCCGCTGGAAGCAGGCAGCCAAGTGCTAAGGAACAGAAGACACTGTTGCCCTCCCCAACCATGCCCTGCCAGTGCCTAGCCACCTAGCATCCCTACCCTGGGATGTCCTCTGCCCCCAGAAACTCCGCTCCCACCTCCAGTTAGGGTGCTGACGTCACCACCTTGCAAACTGAGGATAAAAATGGCCTTATCCCATCAGGAATCAGGAATGGGTTTCAGGAGCTGTTCAGGTCACAAGCATAACAAAGGGCTTATTGTTCCAACTTCAGTTGTCCTAGAATTTAAAATGGATCCCTGGAGACCAGCGCTCCAGCTCTGCAGGGACATGCTTAGCCCTGGACCTGTGTTGAGCTGAACACACCCAGCAGGGCAGCTGCCAGGTCCGGTCCACTTCATCCTCAAGTCACATCCCTGCAGGGGCAAGCAAGCCACAGCCAAAATGTCTCAGACATGCTCTAACCTCACCCACTTCCCAAAGCCCTGGGTGCAGCATGTACAGAATGGGAAACCCAGGAAGCGAGGGCGGTGGGAGTGAAGGACACATCTATCAGCAATGTCAGTGGGGCAAGTGCTATGAGGATGCATACCAAGTGGCAGCAGGAATAGGGTGCTTCTAAGCAGCAGCCGCCATGGCAGAGATGCAGCCTGTCATGCCACTTGTACAACATCACTCTACTCTTCTGACTTGGATACCGACAATGCTGTCTTCTCTGGAGGGTGTGTGGTGTGTGCATGCATCCTTGGGCCCAAACAGGTTAGCACTAGCAAAAATAAAATCACCATCTTCTACTGGCCTAATGTTGACCTGTTGCCACCTCCAGGGGAGCCAACAGTCTCCCTACTGGACCTGGCTCCCAGGGAAAGTGTGGGGTTGTACTGGGAAGTGGTTGGCCAGCCCCTCAGGGAGGACTGTGTTCACCCTGTAGCACTAAAGGGATGCCTGGGGTCATGTCTTTCAAAGGTGATACTATGGTCTGAATGTCTGTATTACCCCTAAATTCAGTTGTTAAAATCCTAATCACCAATGTGATGGTTTCTGGAGAGGGAGCCTTTGGGAGGTGACTGGGTAAGGAGGGCAGAGTCTTCATGAATGGGTTTAGTGTCCCATCAGTCTACACTCTCTGAGTCCCAGAGATCTCCCTCACCCCTCAACCACGAAAGAAGACGCTGTCTATGAACCAGGAGGAGGGCCTTCACCAGATACCAAATCTGCCAGCACCTTGATCTTGGACTTCCAAGCCTCCAGAATGGAGAAATAAATGTCTGTTTTTATGTCACTCAGTCTATGACATTTTCTTTGAGCAGCCTGAGCTGACTGAGACAGTGACAAATCAGGGGCCACTAGCACCCAGCAGAGCTCAGCACTAGATATAACACAGCCGGCAGAGATGCTTCAGAATGCCAAAGGTCACCATTTACACTGCTAGAGCCTTTGATATGACACTATAACTGGTGCTTTAGTCCCCAGAGCTTGACCTGCAAGGAGGGCAAAATTACATAAAAGATACTATATAGAAGGGTTTTGCTGTAAGTGGACTTCATTTGTATTCTTAATTTTCCACCTACCTTATGAAACTTTCCTACCTTCAGAAATACCTCTGCCAGGCATGGTGGCTCATGTCTGTAATCCCAGCACTTCGGGAGGCCGAAGCGGGCAAATCACAAGGTCAGGAGTTTGAGACCAGCCTGGCCAACATGTTGAAACCCCGTCTCTACTAAAAATACCAAAAATTAGCTGGGCGTGGTGATGGGCACCTGTAATCCCAGCTACTTGGAAGGATGAGGCAGGAGAATCGCTTGTACCTGTGAGGTGGAGGTTGCAGTGAGCCGAGATCATGCCACTGCACTCCAGCCTGGGAGACAATGTGAGACTCTGTCTCAAATACATAAACAAATAAATAAAAATAAAATAAAATATAACTCCAAGGGTGCTTAACTCCACAAAACAAATGTAATTAAAATAAAATACCCATTTATTGTCCACAAAGCAGGCTGAAATTTCAAAGTCTGCTGCTAGCCAGTGCTGGGAAGGTGTGGGGTAAAAGAATTCTGGGGGCAATTCTGAGCTATCCAGATGTCTGCACACACTGACCCCCTGGCAAATCCTGGGCAGCAATCCTATGGACAAACTATGTGTGCACAACTGCAGGCCTGCAAAATGACGTGTGGGCGGACCACCCTGCCATGCTGCGACAGTAACATGTGCAACCAGAGGGGATGCTCCTCAATGGAGCCGGGCTGGTTAACTGGCAGGCCAGGAAGACTAAAGCCGGTCTACATGGACTGCCTGTGAGCGCAGCACACACCAAAGACAGGTGCAGAGCAACAACACTCAAGGCACAACCCACCTGTGTCAACAGAGGATGCATCAGTCTACACACAAATACACACACACACACAGCCACGGACACACATAAACATGAACAAACACCAGACACAGAGTCACAAGAACACACATACACAAGAACACACACTCCCACACACAGATGCATACACATGAAAGTGGACAGCCAGCCAACTGTTAACAGTGGTCACTTCTAAGGAGGAGGAAGACAACAGCCAGGAAACTCAATTTTTCTTTGTTGTTTAAAAAATGAATCATACTTTTATATTGCTTCTGTAAAAACATTTAACTCATTAAGAGACTATGTTTCATCCATGTTATACTTGTCAGTAGACCAAAAATTGAAACCTGCTACATTAATGTGTAGAGCTGTGTGTAATACAATTTTTCACATGCAAATCCATTTCTTGGCTTGGGTGACTATTTCTTGCCATACCTTCGACCCTTTTTAATTTACATAAAAAATGAGAAGTGGCTTCTTTTCCCCATAGATACTTCATGGTTTTTGTGACAGCAAAGTAAAAATTAACAGAAAGAGCCAGTCCTCCTGGGCTCTCACACTGAACTCTATTACTACTTAATACAGCACAGAGCAGATAAAATTGTCCCTGCTTTCAATTACCTTACAGCTAAAGATTCCAAAATGTTTTTTAATGAAGAGATTAACAAAAAGCAAAACTCAAAAGACAAGCGACTTAAGGAAGGAAAAAAAACTAAACAAAATACTTGTAACACAAGTGCCAATTCCTAATAAACAAAGTGATCTAACAAACGTAAGAAAACAGAGCTCCCCCACAATGGACCAGATAATACATCTAGGCAGTAAGCACAGAAAGAGCTGCTGCCATAGCAGAAACACTGTGCTAATTAAAGTCGCCCTATCCAACTGGCAAGATGTGTTCTCATCACAGTCCCATGCATAGGAACCATGACCGTCTACGCTGGCAGCAGGACTCTTCAAAAGCCAGCAGAATTAAAAACCTTGTGGGGCCCATTCATCATACTTGAGTAATACAAAAATGATGAAGAAAATGGGGGTTTCACTTTTGTTTTTACAAATTTAGCTGGTTATTTCTCTCTCCTTTGAAAGTGAAAATGCCTGGCTTGGAATGGACCAAAATCAAGATTAATCATAAAAATGGCCCAAATCTGAGGAGGGTGACGTGGAGAGCCCTCTCATTACACCACACCTTACCAACCACCTCCCTGCACCCGCCAAAGGAAGCAAGCAAGCTTTCTGGTATGGACGCCAGGGGCCATCAGCCGCAGAGCTGCCATAAGCCCAAGACCCAGCAGGAGAAACCAAGAGAGCAGGGAAGAATACGGGGAGTGGGAGCAGGGACAAGCAGTGGGAGGGCAGGAACAGAGACAGACCATCCCTGTGGGTGCCCAGCCCCCACCTCCCCACTGCTGAGCCCAAGGGATGGCAGCCAAGTCTGAAGCTTTGCCCCACAGGATATACAGGGACCAAAAGACCAAGCAACCAACCACCTGCCAGATCCAACTGAGGCCTCTACACGTTCTCAACTCTGCTCAACTGAAATTACAAATCATGAATAAAGTGGCTTTACCTGTATCTTATGCCTCTTGAAACTTTCCAGTCACTTCTAGAAAGAAGTCTTCAGAAATCTTTGCTGTGGAAATAATAGGAAATAGGCTATTTAAGCTCTTAAACTGTCTATCCACTTAAAACTCAGCAACACTCCTGGAAAGGCACTGAAAACAAATTACTGTGAGTTTTCTAAAACTTCTAGACTTCCTTAAACCCAGGATCAGCTTGGCTTGTATGTGCTGGGGAAGACAGCACTGGGGCAGACAGGAGGGAGGGGCTGTGCAACCACCCACCCACAAACAGAAAGGAAGTGCAGCCCAGCCCATCACCCGGTGCTGGAGATGAGCCCCAGGACCCGACCAGGTGCACTTTCTTGCAAAATAAGTTGTTCCAGTTAGCAGAGTCCATGAACCAAAAACCACCATCTAATTTTCTATTAGCTCCAGATATGTATCCTTTAAAATTTATCTTCATAAAGCAAACAAGGAAAAAGCAAAACCACATGTAGCATAATTACAAGAACCAAAGAGCTGTTCATCTTCCTTTATTTTTGGATATTTGGTTTTCAGTCAAACAGAAGGATGTCCACCATGGTGTGGCAAGATTTTCATAGTGTGGCTGTCACTCCTCTGTAGTGTGGGAGAGCAGCCTCAAGATAGGGATTGCAGGGTGCAGTAACAGCACCAACAATGAGATCAAGAGAATCAGAATCACAAAACCAGAGCCATGTGCAGGACTACAGACATTCAGGAGCCAACCCTGATCCCTCCATGATTCTATTAATACAGGAGCCACATAACTGTTAAACCTCAGAATCAGACTCCAGCATATTCTGTGGTGCAGAGGGTTTCTTTTTTGTTGTTTTCCTTTTGCTTTCAGAGCTTATAAGACCATGGCTTTTTTTTTTTTTTTTTTTTTTTTTTTTGAAGCCAGCTGGGAAGGAGGCGGCTCTCCCTGGAAACCCAGGTTTAAAGCCCCCATCCCTCCCACCCAGGCCCCTCACCAGACAGCTTCCTCCTCTACAGATGCCCAGCGCACGCCTCCCCAGGGAGCAGGACCTTAAACATGGCCATTCAGGCACACAACGTCCAGTCCCCTAATCCCTGGGGGCCGATACATCCTCTGAACCCGGAGCAGGCACCTGGAGTTAGCAAAGGAGCCGCCAGGACAGGAATCAGAAACAATCAGAATTCATCCGGCCCCACCACAGTGGAGCTTCCAGAGACTGATTCTGGGGTCTTCTCTCCATCAGTGGATACCTCTTACAGCCAATTTTATAAGCAAAAGTATGTTCACATGAGCGGCTATGAGAATCCTGGAAAAGACCACATCCATCCAGGACCCGATACCAATATTTCCTGTTGAAACTCCAGGGCAGGGCTGGGCATTTGGACACAACTGCTGGACAAGCAAAGGGGGAACCCCACACTGCTGTGGGTACCTGCAAAGTGTCACATCACTTGTTCTCACGAGGCTTTTCTGTCACACGGGAGGGAGAGGGGACAGTGGCCGCCTGGGGACTGTGCCAGAAACAGTTCAAGGCAAAAAAGGCAGGGATTCATATAGAAATAAGAGGTTTAGGTAAATAATGTGAACAACAAGGATTTTAAAACTGAAAACTTCTATTTTCTAGAAATGAAATAAGTCTTTTTCACTTGAATAAAAAAGACCCAGAACTGCTCCTCCTGTGGTTTACGACACTTATCATATTCATGGTAATTTTATAGCATCCAGCAACAAATGTCAGCAGGTCTGGGATCTAATCTCAACAGCCTCCAACAACTCCATGTGAACACTGGCATCCTCGTGCTCTGCCTCCCAGCTGGGGTTCACAGCTAGCCTCCAAAAACAGCTGCCAACCCTGAGATTCCTAAATGGGAACACACTTCCTTCCTTAGTGAACTGCCCATGCCCCGGCCCCACCTTGCCTTCACTCTACACAAACGCAGTTTGCTGCTTCTTCCTCAGCATGAAACAGTTATTAGTTACCCTGCTGAAGAATGCAAACCCACACTCCTCATGTCATTACTCATCCTGCTGTTTCAACTCGCACCTCCCAATTCCTGACAGCACAGGTAAAAAGAATCCAAGGGCCCATTCACCAAAAAGCAATGAAATTAATCAGAAGAGAGAAAAGCATTTCCCTCTCATGGCCTTCACACCCTCTCCTGGTGCACCCCCAGTAGTGAAGGAGAGTGTGGGGCTCCAACACCCAGGTATTTAGTGGCCGCTGATGGCAGCAGCAGAGAGCCACAGGCAGCGCCTTCATCTGGCCTCCATCCTGCAGACATGACCTCGCCTTCTGGGCGTCCTCCCTAAGCAGGGACCAGGTGTTCATCAGCACACAGAGAAGACACAGGTGGGTTGAAGCAAGAGCAAGGGGCTCTGCAATAACAGGAAGCTGGGTTCCAATCCTACCTTCTTCAAGCTGTATGTTCCTGGGGGAAGTTACTGAGCCTGTTTCCTCATAAAAAAGGGGGCATACTAATAGTGCCTGTCTCATTTGGGTGTTATAAGGATCCATGACTAATCACTGTTAATGCTTCCTGAGCTTTCCTAGGTGTCTGATGCTGTTTAAGCACTAGGAAGCATTAACTATCATTCTTACCACCTGTGAAATGAAGCCAGTTATTCATGCCTAGCAAAGAAGACTCAAAGAGATACAGCAAGCAGGGTACAGCTGTTAGCACATCTAACGCCCCCTACTGCCAGGGACTGGGGGTTCCACCAGCCTCCTCCTGCACACACAAGGGATCAGGGCTTGCTCAGGTCCAAAGATGCCCCCATAGACTCCTGGGAGCAGGGCTTAGGAACACTGACAGGCAGCGCTGCTGTGGCTGTGGACAGGGAGTCGGGTGTGAGCCTCTTCTACTCAATCTCCTCATACTGGCCCAGAAGCAGGTAAGGAAGTTCCAGGGGCAGAGAGCAAGGGGGGACCCTCCACTGAAATTGTTAATCCAGCACACACCCCGACTGAGTGGGCATGCATATTACAACATGATGCCACTACACTCTGCTAAGCAGGGCAGCTGATTAAGGCTGGCTACAAAGTGCACAGGAAGGGCCTGGAGGACACGTTCCCAAGCCCTGTGGACCAACATCTCCCAAGAGGCTACATCCAGATCCTCTGACCCAGCAGTTCTCTACCAAGAATGCAGTGTGGATATACCCCATGTGTGTGAGATGACTGGAAGAAGGCTATTCAACAGATCAACTCCAAAGACACCCAGAAGTCCATCAGTGTGTGTGTGCCTGTGTACATGGGTGTATAGAGATATAGCACAGAACTTTTTGTATACAAATTATGGTACATTCCAGAGGATAGAACATTATGCAACTATTAAAAAGAATAAAGCTGCAATTATATGAAAGGGCATTCCAGGTCCATTGATCAGTAAAATTAGGGCTCCCAAAAATGTGTGTACTATGTTTCCGTCTGTGCATGTACATGGTGTGTCGCCATGTGTGCGTGTGTGAATGGCTGTGCACACAGGTTCATCAGAAGGATGATTCAAGAGATCACAATTTAATCAAGAACCTGCTGGCAGGGGATGCCTATGAAGAGAATTTGATCTGCGAAAGGAGTGTGCTTCATTTTTCACGATTTGGATTCTTTAGACTATTCAAATTCTTTTCCTTAAGCATGTAGTTTTCTAATTAAAATATTTTAAGTCTGATATCAAAAGTAAAATACAGTAACTGTAGAAAATTGAAAAATTCAAGAAGGGCAAGAGAACACATTCCTAACTATCTCTAAAAAGGTTATACAGGTTGTAACACTTATTAAAATAAGACCCCAGCACGCTGTCTTCTGTACTAACTTTAAGACGAAGATTTCACCAGAATGGAAATTTTCAAGAACATCAGACAGACATGACATACGTTTCTGGTCTGACTGGCATTTTGTTGGAATTCCTCATTCTAAGAAACTCTAACTCATTTACTCAACACTCACTTCTGGAGGGCGTGGGGTGAAGGTGTGAGTCAGATGAAGACTGTTGTCTCCCAGCCCCTGGTCTTTGGCTTGGGGAGGGCAGGCCACAGCAACCGCACAGGAGGGCTGGCTCTGTAACATAGAAGGTGGGACCTGAAGTCCAAGAAAGGCTGGAGCCTGTGGGTTGCTGGAGGAGGAGAGCCCATGCGTGTCGCATCCTGGTCCTGTGTGTTTCTGCCCCACCACACGTGCACACCTCCGCGCTTTCTTATATGGTGCCCTCAGTAGCCTGTCAGGGCTGTGCAATATTACAGAATTAAATATGATAATGTGGGACATTCAGATCCTTTCCACTTGTAATTCCACTTACAATTCATTTTTCTTTAACCACCAGCATTACGTGGACAAGAACCTTTCTGTCTGGAACGTTCACGGTGATGTTACAGAAGTCTGGGCACCACACAGAGGGTACTGGGAGATGGTCTCGGGGAAGATCCTGTGGTTCCATCATGTCTGTCTGCTGTTGATGAAAATTTCCAACTTGATGAAACCTCTTAGTAAGGTTAGTACAGAAGACACAAGTGCTGGCATCTTACTTTAATAGTCATTATAACCTGTAGAAACGTTTTAGAGACTGCCAGCAATGTGTTATTCTCTTGCCTTTCTTGAACAGAGGCTCAGGGCTTCTACTGATCACGCTGACAGGTTTGCTTCCTTTGTACTGGGAAGGGAAAGAATCACGCATAATTTGCATGATTTATTTTCATTTGACTCTCTTCTAAAATTTCCAGTTAGTTGAGCTGAAGTTATTTTTGCAAAGTAATACAATCTTTGCTATAAAACACAAGTCGCCTAGCTCAAACATTTTTTATGCTTCTTTCAAGCCTATTAGAAACCTTAATTGCTTATTAATTTCTCCCTCAACTGTGAAGGAAGTATATTGTGGTGGCTGCAGTGCCAGCTGGGAGGCCAACCTGCCTGGTTTAGATTCCCATGTTGCCACATCCCAGCTGTGTGACTTAGAATAGGCCTCTGCCCCTTCCTATTCCTCAGCTACTGCCTCAGCACCTCCCTTCCCTGAGCTACTCCCTCAGCACCTCCCCTCCCTCCACTACTCTCTCAGTACCTCCCGTCCCTGAGCTACTCTC